TCCCTGGCTTTATTTAGAAAAACCAACCCCAACCTCAACCCCTCCTTCTCTCTCTCTCTCCATCCCAATTCATCATTCCACACACAATTAGCACAATGTCCAGCAGTGGCAGTCACGGGGCAGAAGGATCATCCAACACCAACATTCCAATAATCGATTATCACCATCAGCAGCAGCAGCAGCAAACTAGTCCAGTGACACTTAGCCGCTACGAGTCCCAAAAGAGAAGGGACTGGAACACCTTTGGCCAATACCTTAAGAACCAGAGACCCCCAGTTCCTCTCTCTCAGTGCAATTGCAACCACGTCCTCGATTTCCTTCGCTACCTTGATCAGTTCGGAAAGACCAAGGTTCACCTCCAAGGGTGCATGTTCTATGGCCAACCTGAACCCCCTGCACCCTGCACCTGCCCTCTCAGGCAGGCTTGGGGGAGCCTCGACGCTCTCATAGGCAGACTCAGGGCTGCCTATGAGGAAAATGGAGGCTCCCCTGAGACTAACCCTTTTGCGAGTGGCTCCATTCGCGTATACCTTAGGGAGGTCAGGGAGTGCCAAGCTAAGGCTAGAGGTATCCCTTACAAGAAGAAAAAGAAGACCACAAAGGGAAATAATATTGAAGAATCATCAAACTCCTCCATCCACTTCTCTTGAATGTTCTTCCTCAGAAGGAAGATATGTGTTTCAGCCTTTCCATCACCTAATGGTAATTGTTATGTAGTTAATTTTGTCATCACTTGCTCGGTCTCGCTCTTAATAATCACTCGCAAGCATCAACTTATTACGGTGCTTATATGGCATATCACAATAACAACCTATAACAAACACTGCAATGTTTTTTTTTTTTTTTTTTGTTTTACAGTGGTGAAGTGAAGCATTAAGGAATAACCATCTAGATATGGTCTAGTTTATATAATTGTGTGTGTTATTAATTATTAAGGAATACAATTTGGATCGATGTTATAAGATATAAAAGTGATGGAAAGAACTAAAATATACATATGGATCATTTTTAAGTGATCCTATTAAACTTTTACATTTAAAAGGATGGATCTGGGACGAAAAACTAATGCTTTATATATACAGTTTTTCTTATTCATCATCCAGATAGCTAGCCAATACTATTGAAGTGTTGGTACATTATACCGACAAAAGTATTTCCAATGCCGTGTTCATTAGGTTGAAAAATTAGGGGCGAATATATAGTAATTAATACAGGGACAATTTAATTTGATCCACCTGCTGGCTTTGCAACAAAAACAATGTTTTATATATGGAACATCAGTTTATTAGTTTATTATTTTTATGAATGCTTTCTCTTAATTTATTTCTTTTAAAATTGAGCTGATTTTTGACACATGCAGTGATCAAGTGAGCTAGTGAGACGTGTCGTCTATACTTTGTCAAGTTACTAAGATCACATAAACATGTTTTTAACATATGTGATTAGTTAAGGTTCTAGGTTTCAAATAAAACATATCATCAAATTGTAAAACTTTTAATAATATGCATGCTCTTTGCAAGCCTTTTTTTTTTTAGTTTACAGTTTTATTCTACGCAAGACATGATCATTGAATTTAATGGAATCTTTCAGATGGATGTTGGAGAAACCTAATTCTAATTAAATATTAAATGTATTGTTCTTAGCATTAATATTTCTCCACCATCCTCAATTCTATAATATGTCCCACTTATTGCTATATCTTTAATTAATGTACAAGAAGTGATTTGATACACTCTTACTTATCTTTTCTCCACTGTGTTTTCACCATGTACGTTGATTTGATCATGTCGTCTAGCATTTGATTCTGATAGTTCTATCCATTTATCAAAAAGCTATTTAGTTTTCTAATGTATTAAGTACTGGTTATGTATTTTGCGAGCAAATATTTTGTTGGTTAGGCGAATGCTCAAGCTTTGTGCTTCCCGTCACCTCACATGTTTTTTGTCGGCTTTTATTCCAAGTGGAACTTCAATGGCAATTTGAATAGACACACGTTTGTATTTTGTATATTAAAATAGAACATGGATTGTTCATTGAAGGTACAAGCTCTTGGTTTCAAGTGATTATTCTACTCAAACTTGTCAAAACTTGCTGCACATTTGGATTTTTTTTTCTCTTAATTAAAGCTTGATTATAAATTATACATACTTTGGTTTATTGAGCTTTGTAACTATTTTGTGAGGGCTAGCTACTTTAGCATAATGCTTCCTCTAACATAACATTAATGCAGATATCATGTGTAGCCTCTGCTCAGTGGCAGCTGGTAGCAAGTTAGGGTTTTCTAGGTTGTCTTGCGATCAAAGTATACGAAACTATTCTTGGACAGCTTTTGTGCTGGGAGAGTACCCAGAGATTTTTGGTGACACAGTAATTAACATTCACTTGTGCTCTCCCTGACTCAGATGATAAATGTGCCATGTTGGGGCCCAACCTTCTCTCTTTTTCTCTGTTCCATTTTCTTCCTTTTTTTATGGTCATATGTTAAAATCATGGATTATATATTTAGAGTCCGATTGGGTATAAGTTTAAAAACGATTTTGGGAGCTTTTCTTTATCAAAAATAAAGAATTTTTTTTAGTTTAAAAGCCTTTAAAAAGATTTGTTTTTATTTTGTATCCAATCAGATTCTTACATGCATATCATGTTTATAGGTTTCACGAATTATATACAACACCAGCTAGCTATATAGTCTACCTCATCAAACAGATCAGTGTTCACTGCTTAAAAATAGTGTCATGTGTTTGAATTATTAGTTGAACTCTTGAACTATTAGCTAGCTGTACCATGTAGAGTACTAGTCGATATCCTTTTCAAACCTTTCACCTGGACGACAACCATCCTAACTAATGAAGCATTTGGATATTCATAAATGTAATTGATGAGGATACTGTGTGTTCCTTCTAGGTTTTTTTTTTTTGGTTTAATTAATTGATTTAAATGCATGAGAGTGTAAATTAATTATTTGGTTGATTACTTGGATATGCTTAGTTCCTCTATACTTTTGGATATGCACGGGCCTGATAAAAATATTTCATCTGGACAAAGTGCTGCCAACTAATTGAATACTCCTTGATCTCCATGCAGGATAATATGTGGCATATATATATATGAATCAAATTGGAGGAGTTCTTACTTTAAGGCAAAGTTCATGGGAGGTTTGGTTTCTATATTCGGTAATTTGATGGCATTCCAGTACTCTTAAAATTTCTGTTTTGTTAACTACCTGAGAATTTGTAATTAAGCTTTTAGCAGAACCGAAAGCTTGTGACATGCACAATCGTTGGTTTATGCCTCGGTGTATCTTATATTCAAACATGATTTGCATATTTACATATATAGTTGCTCCTCTTTTTCATCGGTTCCTTTAAAATGCAAGGCATATTTCAATAAATTTAGGTTCATATTGTTATGATGTATCCTTTTTTATGTTTTGCTTCCTGTCATAGGAATTCCAGGTGTCCTTTCGCGATTAACACAAGATTATATAGTGGTGACAACTGACAAGGATTCGTGAACCTGGGTAGATATAGAAATATGATTCAGGGTATTGAAGAAAATTATAATATATAGAGAAGGAGAACATGTCTACATCATTATTTAAATTTATTTTATTTAATAATTCATATTTTATATTAAATTTTAATGATTCAATTGTTGAATTTAAAATTCTTAATAAATATATAGATTAAGTTTACAAATTCTTAAAAAAAATTAAAAATTATTTACTACTTTTTTTCATTAATTTAAATCAACATATAAAGATTTTTATGATTATCCGTTGATTTGAATTAATAAAATGAAATATTAAATGATTTTTAAATTTTTAAAAGAAATTATAAACTTAATTTATAAATTAAAAACTTTAAATTCAATGGTTGAATTGTTGAAATTTGATATAAAACATGAGTTATTAAATAGAATTAATTTAGGTAGACTTACTTCTGAAATAAACATATATATATATATATATATATATATATATATATATATATATATATATATATATATATTCATTAATTAATTATCAAACGTATACTTTGAGAGATACAAATCAAGATTAGGTTTTCCTCGTACAATAAAGAGTTAAGGACGAGTGAATGTAATAAGGACAGGTGATGTGTATTTAATTAGGTACAGGTTTTAGTTGTAGCTGAATCTTTCAATGTGCCAAGAAATAGAACTTCTAAGCTAACCGAAGTCTTAATTAGCTGGCCAGAAATATTGTGGTTTTCTTTTATTTTTGTTAATAAGTAAACACTTTACTAGGGTCTATTAATTATTGATGAGAAAGATGAGTATTGCGTCACAATTGAGATTTATAGAGGATTAAATCCAACGCACTACACAGCCATTATTCATTAGGACATCAAGGCTCTTCCATAAACTTAAATATCTTACAAAAACTTCCAAATTAAATGATAAAAGTAATTAATGTTTTGTTTGTAGAATAAACCAATGAGTTAAGTATTGAATTTTGCATTGACATTCGATATTGATTTTAATACTTATTTTGCATTGACTAGTGGTTGATACGTTGTTAAAAGAAGGTTGGTCAAATCAATTCATAATGTCTTTTAACATTCAAATGACAAATATTACTCTAATTTTTTTAATTAACAACCCTGTGAATACAATTTTGTTGCTATTTATAAAATATATAAAGTCTTTCAAATTTATAAATCAAACTTTAAACAAAACATTTTTCTAATTAGCACCATATTTAAATTGAATAGGTATTGCGCAAGACTATGTGATACAATATTTAAACTTATGATCAATTTACTACTTGCAAAATTTGATATCTTGCGAAAATATTAACAAATCTCAAGTAAGTGAAGCTTTAGTATATTCTTTCTATATTTCTACTCGTCCCGGCCTTCTATACTGGCGAAGTGGCATTCCTTAAGCCGAATAGGCGATCGACTACTATTGGATA